TTATAAGTTTGCTTAATAACAAAAAAAGAGTTGAATTACGTATGTTTTTAAGCTTGTTTAATAAAAAAAATGAATTTGGGATTTAGGTGTAGAAGAGGTTAGGAGTTTAGTTGTAGAAGAGGTTATAAGTTAAGGAAGTTGTGGTTTGGGGTTTGGGGTTTCGAGTTTAGGGAATTACAAATCCTTTCCTCGTAAAGCCCTAGTAATAGAAAACACGGGCATAGCTATTTCCTCGTAAGCATTACTAGGACTTTACGAGGAAAAAAACGTGGGCATAGCTATTTCCTCGTATAGATTTTCCTCGTAAAGTCCTAGTAATGCTGGCTTACTAGGACCTTACGAGGAAATGAAAACACGGGCATAGCTTTTTCCTCGTAAAGCCCTAGTAATATTACTAGAGCTTTACGAGGAAACAAAATTCCTTATATATACACAAGCAATCCGACTTCTCAGTCATAGTAAGCTCCTCTCCATATTCTCTTAAGGTGCTCTCTAGTTCCTAGTTAGGTGATTAGATTAGGTGGTTAGTTTAGGGAATTTAGATTAGGTGGTTAGTTTAGGGAATTTAGATTAGGTGGTTCGTTTAGGGAATTTAGATTAGTTGGTTAGATAAGGAAATTTAAATTACGTTTCTTTAACTGTTTTTAAAAATTATACTAATTTATACGAGAATTAGTGTTTTCTGTTTTTTTTTTAAAATTTAGATGGTTAGAAAGAGCAAAGTTGATGCTGCTCAGTCCAGGAGGCCTGTAGATCAGGTATTCATTATGCGGATATATTCGGGACCGGTTTGTCTTCGTCAGCTCCCGGTGGTTCACCTTCGGGAGTTCCCGAGACTCAGGGAGGTTTTACGGCATCCCGGTCTCAGCAGCCACCTCCTCAGCCTCCTCCTCCTCCTCCTCCACCGGTCGGGATTCATCTTGACTTGCAGGTGCCGTCGAACGCACGCCGCCGAACGCACCATTTGCGGTGTATACGGTGGAGGATATCTTGGCCCTTCCAGGCAGAGAAGGGCTGCCAGAGTTAGATCCTCTCCGACGGGACGGCCAAAACGTATTATGGTATGTTTTAATTTTTAAATTTTTTTATTAATTAATTAATTTTTAAAAAGTATTATGGTATATATATGTTCTATTAATGATTTATTTTCTGTCTTTCCAAGTTTGGTCTTGACAATTCTGTCGGATCTAGCGTCACGGACTGTATCAAGGGATACTTTCCCGATGCAGCTCCAAACTGGAAGCTGACGGCGAGCCACACCAAAACGACGTGGTTCAAATCGTTCGCTGTAAGTTTAGTAAATCAATTTAATTTATTTTTAATCATTTAAAATTATGAATATTATTGAACTAATCCGTCTTTTATTTTTTCTGGTTGCAGCAAAAATACCGTTGGTCTATTGGGATTCACCAGCGGGTGAAGTCAGAGTTCGAGACCAAGGCAAAAGCACGATTGTGCGACATGGNTCAATTTAATTTATTTTTAATCATTTAAAATTATGAATATTATTGAACTAATCCGTCTTTTATTTTTTCTGGTTGCAGCAAAAATACCGTTGGTCTATTGGGATTCACCAGCGGGTGAAGTCAGAGTTCGAGACCAAGGCAAAAGCACGATTGTGCGACATGGTCTACAACTGGAAGGGCGACTTTCAGGTATAAATTTTAAAATTATAATATATATTAATTATAGTTTTAAAAATATATATTATTGACTTTAATTTTAATTATTTTAAATCAGGTGAACGGTTACGAGCGCGGGAAACCCGATTGCCTCACAACCACGGTGTGGGATGGCCTCATCAGCTATTGGACGTTGTCGGATTCGATCAGAACGTCCAATACAAACTCCGGGAACCGCATGGCCACAGACGAGCATGGCAACACGAAGATACTTCACACCACGGGACGAAAACCTCACGGGGGAGTTCGTCTAGACATGGTACTTTTTATAACTATTAAATTTTTACTTTATTTTAATATTCTAATATTCTAAATTAATATTTAATTTAAAAAAAAAAACAAAAGCTAAAGAGACAGGAGTTCTTCCATCTCTGAAAGATCTTTACGAGCGGACCCACCGGAGGAAGAGTGGGCAGTTTGTAGATCCTGCTTCCGAGCGGATCTACAACGAGGTTGCTGCCCGAGTTGACGAGCGCCAGACAAAGTTGACTCAGCAGACTGGGGCTTCGGTCGTATTATCCACTCTTGAAGTGGATAAGATTTACGAGGAGGTAAATAATTTGTTTTAATATATTAATTTTTATTATTTATTTAAATTTTTTCTTAGGTTATTAATATTTTAATTTACAGGTCGTCCCGAGGAAAAAGGGCCGTGTTATCGGGATTGGCTCGGTTAACGATGTCCCCGCAGTGACATCGGCTTATGTTCACCAACAAGCCGATGACAATGCTCAGCTGCGGACGGAGTTGCAGGCGTCGCAGTCTCATGTGCGTACGCTCACGGATATCCTCGACATTGTGGCGGTTGGAAATCCGCAAGTGGCGGAAATGTTGCGTCAGAGACGGGAAAGCGGAGCCCTTCCATCCCAACAGCCTCCACCATCTCAGTCACAGCCGGCATCCAACATTGGAGACGACGACTTGTGAACCAATTTCAAGACCAGCATCCCTTTTAGTTTTTTTTTTAGTTTTTAATTGTATATTATGAATTTTAAAACTTATTGATTGTATATTATTTAGTTATTTATAAATATTTTGTTATTTATTTTTTTAAATTTTTTTTAATATATATAATTTTAATTTATAATTTTTTTTTAAATAGGAAAAAATTGTTTTGAAGCAAAATCCTCGTAAAGGTTTCGAAGTAAACTCCTCGTAAACTTTCCTAGCAAGTTCCTCGTAAAGTACCTACTACGAGGTTACAAGGAAATACTTTACTATGCCCTTACGAGGAAAGTCTACGTGGAGCTTACGAGGAAACATTTTCCACGTCTTTACGAGGAAACTTTTCCTCGTAAATTAGCTAGGCAATTACGAGAAAAAATAGGCTTTACGATGAACGTCTTTCGACGAAACACGTTTCCTCGTTATTTCTTTGTAAAGGGTCATTTACTAGGAAATAACGAGGAAAACCCGTCCTAGTAAAAGACGTGTTTTCTTGTAGTGCCAGTAGGGCTCCTTGCAAGTTCAAGGCCAAGAAAATACTTGGAAATTCCTAAATCTTACATATGAAAACATTTGTTCATATAAGTTTTGAAAGATTCAAGAAGTGCCAGAGTACGCGCAGAGACGATTAGATCATCCACATACACGAGTACCATAATGTAATCTGAGCCACGATCCCCAACAAATAATGAGTAATCAGGAGGTGATTGAACGAAACCGTCATTGCGTAAGGATGTAAATAGCTTCTCAAACCAACATCGTGGGGCCTATTGTAGACCGTAGAGTGACTTACGGAGGCGGCATACCTTATTTTTATCAGAACCAGAGAAACCAGGTGGAGGTCGTATGTAAACTTCCTCTTTCAATTCACCGTGTAGAAAAGCGTTATAGACGTCCATCTGATGAATCTCCCAATTGCGAGATGCGGCAATCTGAAGAAAAGTACGAACGGTTGTCATCTTAGTCACAGGAGTGAAGGTCTCATCACCTTCGACCTGATTATTGACTAGTACCACTAAACGTGCTTTGTATCGTTCAAGAGTACCATCTGCTCGAAATTTGAGTTTAAAAACCCATTTACAACCAATGGCGTGCTTGCCAGGCGGAAGATCCTCCACTGTCCAAGTGCCACTATCTTCAAGCACAACATACTCCACTGTAATTGCATCACGCTAATGCTCGTCAAGAATTGCTTGTTTATAGGATCTTGGTTCAATAAGTGACGAGATTGCAGCAAGAAAGTGACTGTAACTTTCAGAAAAATTCGAGCAGTCCACGTAAAACTCGATACCATAAGGAGAAGTTGTGTTGCAAGTGACAACCGGAGAAATTGTCTGCATTACATAGTCATGTAACTTGGTAGGTAAGGTTTTGTTCCGAAGTCCACGACCCAATTCTTGAATGGGAGGAGTGATCTCAGCTGGGGTAGACACTGCAAGAGTTTCAGTAATAATTTCTGCAGGAGCTGATTGAGATGTAGTAGATAAAGGTAACGAGGAAGATTCATTGTCGGTGTGACTTTCCTCTAAAGTTTCAGTAAGTGGTGGAAGGTTTGCAGTAGCAACATGCTCTGTTTCTGGTAAGACGTCTGCCAGCTCATGAGAATTATCTGAAACCGCCACTGGCGAAGGAGAAGATCCAATGTTTTTATTTTTTAAAAAAAAATTGAAAACATATCTCCAAAACCCCTCATCAACCCTAAACCCTAAACCTCTTAACTCTAAACCCTAATTTCTAACATTAGAGATTTAAGTGTATATTACTTCTTTAGATAAAACATTTAAATTTATTTTGGTCATCTTTATTTTTAAGTCTTATATTTAAGACAGAAAAATTTTAGTAGGTTTTCTAGGTTTATCCTAGAGAATTTCTCTATAATAAAACTGCATCAAGTTAAACAAAACTGAACTTATCCGCTAAACTAAAACTTAACCGCGACCCATATCTATAAGACGCCCCTAACAGACGATTACAGCCTGAATGATCAACGGTGTTGGGTCATCGACTTATCAACTCACGGCTATGCACTGCGTAGTGGGAGAAATCAAAGTTTCCAATCACAAACACACAATAATTAAACTCTTAAGTAAGGAAAATGCAATTACCTACACTACAATATATGTATATTCGTAACGACTAAAAGCATCATCAACCGAAGACCAGCAAAATATATATATATCTTTTCTTGTTTATGAGTTTAGAGTAAAATATGAGATTTAAATTCTCCTCATAGATAAGTTAACACAATTCTTCATCTTACTTGCTGCTACTCTCATTAACGGGAAGGTAGACCCCTTCTGCTGCCAACCAAACATTATCTGCCCGCTTCTCCCTGATTCCACACACCTATGTCCCAAAACAAAACAAAAAAACTCATGCATGAGTGTTAACCTTCAAGACATTACAATAATTTATAACATTTTAACAAAAGATATCAAAGCTTAATCTACCTCTTGCTGACCACCGGCTATTCGCTGGTACTTTTTGTCATGGCTATGGAGGTAGCCACTGGTGTCTATGTGATGAAGTCGGACTCTTTGGTCTTGTCTCCATGTCTTCCCGCTCCCTTCGATTACAAGCCTATGAACAGATTGTAAGGTGTGTTGAGTATTTATGAGGATTGAAGTACACTAAATATTTAGAAGGAATATCAAATGGCTTTTAGACATTATTACTTCCAGTGATCGCCAGTATCGGAACTTGAATCATCTCCAAAGCAGCTAACCTGCACCAAGAAAAAATGGGTCAGCAAAAAGGATAATGCAACTTATAAATGAAAACCAGACACAGTACTACCTGCCTCTCTATATAAATATCCTAGAACTAACAGTTTCTCCAGTATAAATCCCTGACCTTTTACATCCAAGCTTAGCGGACCATGGAATACAAAAAAAACAGTGGTGCAAACATGCTAAATGGTAACTGAATACTAACCTCTAAGTTTCCTGAAATAGGGGATGCATGTAAGTGACTATGGAGCCACTTTCGGGTCTTCATGTGCTGCAATCTAATGGTTGCTCCACTCTTGACCGCATCACCTTGCTTGGCAGTTGTCCCAGGCACCGGTTTAACAATCTATCAAAAGAACAGCCCGTTACAAGATAATGCATCAGATCCATTACTCCACCACAAGTTGATATATTAACAAACCCCACCATCATAACTTAAATAATATGCTAGTTGATGTCTTGTTTCTAACAGCCAAAGACTTATAACTTTTTTTAGTACTATATGTTTATGATCTTCTGTAAAGAAGAAAGAGGATAAGTACCCAGTAGCTGTTGGAATCAACGACGCCAGGAAAGCCAGTGACAGATTGCTGACCACTGCCGGATCCATAGGGCACATCGTGAGAATGAAGACGGAACTTAGTTTTCTCGTGCATCAGCTTAATCGCACTCCCATAACTAATCTGTCACACATCACAAACCAAGACATGGGATGGGAGTTTTATATATTCTGTATCAATTCAACAATGCAGGAATCTCTAATTAGCTACACAAATTAAATGGATTAGCGATTTCGAAACGCACACCTCGACGCCTTCTTTACCAGAAGAGGCGGCGGAAGCAGACGTGTAGCCGGAATCCGAATCGACGCTAAGGAAGAGGAAGAGAGCGAGAGAGAAGGATCCTAGAGCCATCACGAAGAGGAGAGCGATAAACCAGTTCTGCTGATAAAAGGGGAATTCTGGGATCGGTTTCCTCGCGGAAGGAGTTCGTAGAGGCGAATCAGTGGAAGGAGGAGATGATGATGATGGAGGCTTTCTTCTCGAGAGAGCTTGTTGTTGCCCGGACGACGACGCCACCGTGAAGGATCAAATTGGGATCTCGCCGGAGACTGTAGATGGCTGACGAATGTGTTAGCTTTGCCGATTTCGATTATGAGATTGTTTGTTAAGTTTTCAGTTTTTGTTGACACGTAGGCTACCATTTACATACCAAATGGTTATTCGCCACGTGTACTCTCACTGAGATGGCAAATTATAAGTGGTGCGAAATGCAAATTTAAGCTTTCTTTTAAATAATCTTTATTTGTGTCTCATGCATAGTAACAAACACACACAAACATGCGCATAAGTAGGGCTGTTTTTAGATGGGGACACATGATCCTTTTCTATTATGTACAATTTTCTAAATTGAGCATTCTTTAGATTTTGTACGCATTACTATAGAAAAATTTAAAATCATACGGGAGTACATGACCCATATCAATGGTTGTGCGTCCGTTCCTGTATATAAATGATTAGCAACTTAACATAGCAAATTTGTGTCTCTCAGATTTCCCGGAGACGGTAGTTTTGCCGATTTCGTTTATGAGATGGTTTGTTAAATTTTCAGTTTATGTTTGACACGTAGGCTTATGTTTACATATCCAATACTTATTCACACGTGTTCTTTTGACGAGATGGCGATTTATAAGTGGCGCGAAGACCAAATTAAAACTAAACATTTATATTCTCTATGTCTAATTATATCTTGCATGAAAAAATGTACTATTTCAAACCCAACCAAGATCCTGCTTATTCCATCATGAACTCAATTTTGGTATAATGCATATACTATAATGAATTCAACCAAAAAAAAAAAATGTTTTGTACCAACTTTCACAAACATGCATATATATATATATATATATTGACTATAACAGTGGTTAGTCAACTGTTTATTCGGGTGACTAGCATCTGACATAACATTTTCGTTAACACGAATCGTTTTGTAAATATCATAAAATTAGTTTTATTTTTACAGGACTCGAATCCACAACTTGTAAGACATGCAGAAGTTTTTGCACCACTAAACTAGAGAAATTCTCATGTATAATATATAATTGAAAGCACTATATTAAAACATTATGTGCGTGGATAATTTTCCTTTTGAAAATGCATCAATGAGATTCGAACCCAAGCAACAAAGGACATCTAATGATTTAGCCATTAGACTAACGTAACTATACGGTAATGTAAGCAATTAAATATTATATTAACATATTTGGTATTTTCTATCATAAAAATATCAACATTTTATTTCCAACCTACTTGATTTTTTTTCTCCAAAGTGAGTTTGAACTTAATTGGGGATTAGGGTACAAAATCGAAACTAAATCTCTGATTAACGTCCATATTTTACAAGTTGAAGTTTTTGACAAGGAAGAATGAGGCAATTCTATTTATTTAGGATTTGGTAGAATCTGATTTAAATAATAAGTTGGCGATTAATGTTTTTCATCGCTGTTACTTATATATTTTGTTACCTTTCAACGTTTCTATGCATATAGCTTTATAATTTCAATTTTATAAACACAAAATTTTGATTTATGATTAGTTTATCAATTGTTCGATGAAATGTCTGTCAAAAGTTTTTTTGGTATTAATAGACCTCTGAATGTCGATTGCAGATATTTAGGTGATGTAACATTGAGTGTGCATTATGGTGGATATTGACTGAAGATATATAATGGAGAATTCACTTATCTTGACGGGGGATATGAAAATTATGGTGGATACGAATCGTCAGATGTATGGTACTAGCAATCATCAAAGACGGCTACAAACAGAGAGTGGAGCCCTAATTTTCCGACCACTGAAATTGGAGAGCGTAGTGTGATATACGTGAAAAAAACTAGAATAAGAAATAACGTGAAGACGGTAACAAGAGAAAAATATTTGAAAAGAATATTTTTATTTTATAAATAACAAAAAGCGTTACATTCAATATTGTTATTTCTATATTTGTTGTTAATGCAATTTTATTTACATTTGACGTGGAAGGATACTATAAAAATATTATTGTATTCAATATATATGGATATCTGAGATGAACCAAGGGATCTCCTTTATCTTTTTTTTATTCACTAGGAAAATTATAATAGATATTTTTGCATGTTATTCAAAATATATCGATAATTTATATGGGATATCTTATGAATATAATATATTTACTTGTGAATTTTATATCTATAGTATATTTTATCGTTTTACTATAACATACATGTAAATAATAAACAGTGATGTTTTATGTTATATAATGTCCAACGATGTTACATTATACTTAATAATACAATTTCTCAAATTATTTTATTAATTTACTCAAACTAATATTATTTGTATCATTTTACCTTTGTTTATATATTATGTGTTTTGATATTTTGGTGTAAGTTTTTATTGTTTAAATATATAATCTGCATTTTTGAACTTCTTTTGTCGTTCATAACTTATATTAAATAATTTGATTTGCTTGATTTGGTTAATCCACATCTCTCCTGCATAATCCACTTGATCTACATAATTTCTTGATCTGCATATTCATTTTTTCTACAGATTCGAATGGTGACGCATGTTAAATATGCATATCAAACCAAAAATACAGATCTAGCATAGCAAATCCAGATTATGTAACTTAAGGTTGCGAATGAATAACACTGATACGAAAATGCGGATCAAACAAAAAAATGCAGATCAATCAGAACAAATGCAGATCAAACAAATTATGCAGAACAAAATGCAGATCAATAAATTATGTAGAGTTTGAAACATTAAGGCTATGAATGTAGGACATAACTATTGTAGCAGAAAAGCAGATAAAATTAACATGCAGATGCAGAAGGGACTGCAAAAATTGTCCATTCAACTACAATATGCAGAACTAACTAAAAATAAATAAAATATATTTATTCTGCATGCAGAATTTTTTTCTGTACAATTTCTTTTGGTCTGCAGGTGAGAGGAAAAAAGTGGGTGGCGAAAGGCAGATGTCCAATGCATGTACTTCTCTTTTATTTTTAAATAAATCACAAATTTGTCTATAAAACCAAAATCTTTTCATTCTTCATATTCACAAGCTCAGATATCTCTCTAACAAGTAAGTTTTTATAGTGTTTTTAGTATTTATGTTCTTATATATAATAATTATCCCAATTTTTTTTTATAGTATGCTGAAATGTTAATTTTATGTGATTAATTGTTTCTACTATATTTTCAGGTTTCTCATATCAACATCAATAAAAATCAGAAATCAAGGTAAATTTTTAATTTATTTCTTTAATGAAGTATGGAAATTTTATTATCTTTAAAACTAGAATTTATATTCAATAATACTAGTAGATTATTTTATATTTCTCTTACAAATATATTATGACAAAGACATGTTTATTATAATCTAATTAATTAATTATTTTTATGTAGATTAGTTTATTAAATTAATATCTGTAATTAATAATCATCTAAATATATTAATAAATTATTTTTTTTTATAACCAATTAATATTTTTAGAGAATGAAATGATAAATATATATATTTTTGTTCATTTAAATATATATAAAAATATATCTATTTTAGTCTTGTGTATAGTTAGTTATACAGACACTAATTAGAAGTATATATGCATCTCACATGTTGGCAACAAAAGAACATCGTTGAGGTAGATATCTTTACGGCCGTGGTTGTGTTTGGAGGTCCTGAGATGCTTAAGACTTTTTTTTGTGATACTTGTAACCAAAATACTGCTTAATCCCTTCCACATAATATGCATCTCCGTTCTTATGTTTCAAGCAGACCTCCTTGATTTCTTGGTACCGCCCGACAGTTCACTATCGCTTTTCTCTCAATCGATAGAGCCAAGGACATTTGAACAAGGCACTGGTTTCCTTTTTACTCGATTTTGAGTAAGAATTGAGACTCATATATCTCATCAAATACGGTTGAATCACTAAACTGAATCAGTAGGGAAGAGTCGGTACGCCTGAAGTTCTGGGCACATTGACCAACATCAAACTCACTGATTGAATATATCAAGTGGTGAGTCTAGGCCGGAAAGCTGGCACTGGGAAGCATTAATGGTGGCTTGCATAATTGTGACCTAAATCATAGTAAATATATCAGGAACAAAGAACAAATAGTCGGCCGGAAGTTGGTAATAATACGATTTAGAAAATTTATACAGGAGATTCCTTACATAAACATCTACTAGAATCATGTCAAGCCACATGAGTTCTCACCACCGCATCTAACATTCTCAGAAACAGAGCAGACGGACCTCTAGTGGAGGAACACTGGTTGGCCTTACACATGAATTCTTGCTTGAACTTACACCTTCCGTCTTCTGGTGGTGCACGTGCTATGGTCCATGCTTGGTTGATAAACATCCACTGTCTATGAAGGTCTTTAAGTACCTAACTCTGTTAAAAGCTCTTATTCTAGTGTTTTTAGAGTGTCCACATAGGACAATTTAATTGACCAATAAGAAAGCAGTTTTTGTTTTAATGGGCTACGTTTTTGTTAACCAACTATATGTTTAAGCCCAATATGAGACAAAGCCATTTTACAAGAAAAACACAGATAAAGTTTATTATCGCTTGGGGGAACATGTGTTCTAATTCTTGCTTGAACTTACACCTTCCGTCTTCTGGTGGTGCACGTGCTATGGTCCATACTTGGTTGATAAACATCCACTGTCTATGAAGGTCTTGAAGTACCTAAAGTCACGAGGCAAGCTACAAAGTGATTTTCTGTTAATTTAACCTAATGATGCAAGCAATAAAGAGCTTTTCTGTTTAACTTCCAACCTAACCCAATAATTCCGTCTAAGCTTTTATTTTTGGCAGCATGATAACTCACCGGGGAAAACAAAGGAAAGAGGTTGGAGATGGAGCGCTAAGGAGAGGGGTTGAAGCTCTTTCCAGGGTAATGAAATTTGTAAATAATTTTACATTCACAGCAAATTATATTAGTCATGGGTTACCTTTCGCCAAAGATATTTGCTATCACCAAGATATGGTGAATGCAATACACTTCTCAAGTTTGTTTGCCGTTCTTTACTAGCTACACTGATATTTGGTGGAGTAACTATTAACTACATCCTTTTTCAATTTTG